ATTATGTTCTTAAATTATCTAAATATTTCTATACATGCCAAAATTAATTATATATGAAACCAATAGCGAATCCAATGGAAAAGAAGACCCTAAGACATTAACAGCAATGCAACGGAGGAAGGAAGAACAAAAAATAGCAAAGGAAATGCCAATAATGAATTCCATGTAGACTCTCACCTATACCGTAATGTTATCTTCATATCACCAAACGACTCTCCCTAAGTCCAATTGATGGAATCTCTGCCCATTTTCTCATAAGTTGCCTCATGGTCCAGCCCATGCTAAGATACAGCATATTCATGACATGACCTCCATTAATTAAATAGACCTTGTCCTCCACGAAGCTGGAGATAATATCTTTAAAAGCAATTAAGACGTTGGACATGTATGTGGATCCAAACCATTCCAAGAAACAAAATTGGAGGAGACCATAATGCACTTGGCATTGAATATGCGTGCGCATATTATACATATATATAGGCAACTCTATCTTTGATAAGTCCAAAAGCTACAATCCCATCCATCATTAAAGCTCGAGTGATCAAATATTGAAGTTGGATCTCAACTACAGTTTTGCCAATTGTATTTAGAAAACCCAAAACTGCTCCACATCTTGTCCCCAAGGCATGTTCGATAGTATCTAGTAATGGGAATGCACCAAATAATTTTAATGGAACAAGCAACTCATCCCCCTTGATAAAAGTGAGCTGCCAAAGACGGTTCCTTCTTTATTTGAGCTATGTCATTCACATATGTTCAATTAGTTTTTCTGTAATGGAAGTGTCAGGAAAAGTAGTGGAAAAATGACATACTGACCAAGCAAGAATGTAATAACCAAACTGGCTGGAGCCAACAATTTGCAGCTAGCATAAGATTTTTCGGCTAATGTCACATATTATATTCTGGCAAAGACAAACCAGTGCATTCAAGTGGCCTTGGGTTAGTAGGTTGTACGTTTAACTCAAGTGACTTTTTTATAATAGACATTCCACTAGAATTCCAGGATCCAAAATCCACCTAGCATGACCATTAAAAGTAATGTTCAAAACTCTTTGGAAATGATCATCTGCTATAGCCACTCTTCCATTCTTCCAGGATATCTCTACTGGAGTACAAGAGAGTAAGAGCATAATGGTGAAAAAAAGAACCGTGAATCGAAGCCATACTTAAATAGGACGCCAATAGAAAAGTGTATTCCTTAGCATAATAGGTCCTTTATTGATGCATAAATAACCCCGGGATGTGTGACAAGTGAATTTTGGAATTGTCCACACAAAGTTGAATATAGATTTACCCATGTGCATAAGAATCAAAGCTAAATCGGATGCAGATCTTTAGTGGGAGGGCCCAAGTAGAAGTATGGGAAAGAGATATAATGAATGGACCTAGAATTAGGTCAAGGCCTTGGGTGTGAGAGAGAAATGGAGGTTTTATGAGAAGATGCATAACATAGGGGACGTGAAGAATTTCGTGAAGTCTCTCCTGCTGCATTTCTTCATTCCTATAGAGCCTTCGTTTGCCTTCTCATTTGTGACTACTCCTTTGTTTGGTTTACAAGGGAATACATTTTTGGTGAAGTATGTCCTCAATTTAGGCTCCAACTAGCAAAAATAAGAAGAAAGGGAGCCATAAGAAAGAGTTTGTGTATCCACATTAATTGCCTTAATGATTTACTTAACTTAAGTGTAATGGCAAAGGAATTTAAGAAAAATTAGAGGTGTGATAATATCTTTAAATGGTAATTATATTAATGTTGAAGACTCCATTGCCGAGGGATGTTGGTGTAGTGGAAGAATGGTGCAGATATTAACCATTAGATCTCATGTTCGAATCTGATTCAAGCGAGAGAAATTCATTTTTTTCCTTTTTACTTTATGAAATTACCAAATTACCCTCATTCCAATTAGATATTTTTTCCCTTTCTTTCTTAGCTTCTTCGAGTAATTTCCAGAGTCTGTCAAAAGGGAGGTGCTCTAATTTTTTCTCTCTCCCTTCGTGCTTCCTCTGCATCTTCATCTTGCTCCTTCCTGTTTCAACCGTCCCCAGTGTGAACCTCTATTTCGTCCGCCACTGATTAGCTAAGTTCATGGTTTCTTTCCTTTCCTAGTTCAGATCGATGCAGTCTTCTCCCTTCACCGTCAATTTCTGTATAATTCTTGCTGCCATCAGTTCTCCTCTGTCTTCCCCTATTTTATGTGTCGCTAGCCAACATTCATCTCCTTCGTCTTCGTTGTTCGAGCAACAACATCTCCTTCATCTAGCTTCCACCATTGTTGATTAGAGGGTGTTAGGAAGAGGAAAAGTTCGGCTCAAGTGATAAATAGGTAAACTATAAATTTTAAAAAAATACTTCAAGTAAGTAGAGAACGTCCTAATTAATTTATTTATTAAAAATTTTTTTTTATCAAAATATTACTTTAATAATTTAAATATATTTATATATTTTTTTGCATTAGTTATTTTTGTTAATTAAATTATTTTATTTTTTGGAGTTATGATTTATATCTTTTAAATTGATGAAAATACTTTTATAAATTTTAATAGTACTTTATTTGATAAAGTTAATTATAAAAATTAGTGAACATTTTATGAGATATTAGCTATGAATTTTTATATTTAAAAAGACTGATGTTTTTATATGCTTCATCAGAGTTTGATATTGAGAAAAGAAATTATATTTTGAAAGTGATGATTTATCGCATGTCTAAAAGTGAGTTTAAAAAGAAACTTTATACAAAAACACTGGTTGCTAATGGCAGTCCCGTTAGCCCTTAGCGCGCCTAGGTCAATGACTAGCTAGTTGATTTTCGTGAACTCTATTCTCACATTTGTTATTTGTGGATCTCATAACAACATCTATTTCATGGCTTTGATCATATGTAGTTAGTTACTCTCATGGACTGTGTGTCCACGTCTGTTTTGTGGCTTCGACCACATTTAGTTATTTACCCTTGTGAACTGTATGTCATCGTCTGTTTCGTGGCATAAGACAGGTTCGATTATTTACCCTCATGAACTATGTGTCCATGTTTGTTAATTATTTTAATAAGTCCCTATAATTATAAATTTAATTAGTTAGTGATTTTACATCACATTGGTTTTTAATTAGTAATTTATTTATAATTATTTATTTTGTTTATTTGCTTTCTTGAAATCAAATGATAATAATATTTGCTATGATAGTTTAATGGTTTAAAATTTTATTTAAAATTTTATAGAGCTATTTCATTCCAAAGTTTGTTATTTTTTTTAATGGAAATCACTGTCTCTTTAATTTATATAATCATTGTCATTTATTTATTTTACCCTTTTAAAATTTTGTTAATTATAGGACATTATTCACTAGAATAATTTATTTATAATTATTTATTTTATTTATTTACTTTCTTGAAATCAAATGATAATAATATTGCTATGGTAGTTTAATGGTTTAAAATTTTATTTAAAAGTTTATAGAGCCATTTTATTTCAAAGTTTGTTAATTTTTTTATGGAAATTGTTGTTTCTTTAATTTATATAATCATTATCATTCATTTATTTTACCCTTTTGAAATTTTATTAATATCGGGACATTATTTACCAGAAAGCATTTATTTATTCTCAAATAGTATAATTGACAATGTACCTTCTACTATCTTTTGAGGGCTCATTGTTGGATTGATTAGAGGATCTTTTGAGGCTATATCCCTTCTGATGTAAATGTTTAATTATTTGTTATATTTTGAATTTATAATTAGTTGCTCCTTGTTAATTATAGATGGGATTTTGATATGTTATCTATTTGTCTGTCTGCTATGGAGGAGCAAAGCTTTGCATTTCTAATTTGGATTGTACATTGATGTTGTAAAGAATTTGAGAAGTCCTGTTTACAGGAGAGGTTTTGTCGAAATTTTTATGAAAAGTTTAAGAATTTATTTTTATTTGTATAAAAATGTTATAATAAATGTTCATCCTATTTTAAATGAGTTAAAATATTAGATTAAAGTTTCCTTAATCAAAGCTTAAAAGATGTAGATTTGTGCATATATCTCATGTCAGTCACGCCTAATTTTTGGGATGTGACATTGAGAATTTTATGTGATTGTGAAAATTGGCATTCCCATTCATGTTTGAAAGAGAGTTGTGAACAGATTGCGAAGAATTTATATATGCAAAATATGAATAGCAAACTTGTTTTCAATTGGTATATATGCTAGTATAGCTTAGAATATTTAATTGTTACTGAAACATTAAATCTCATATGTTATCTCTAACAATTTTTCAGGTGAGAATTCTGGCAGAATTTTGGAAAAATATGAGCCTTTGGCTCCTTTTGTCTCGAAGGCTCGGCACATGTATGTTGCATTGTTTTCATTGTCTAGTTGCCATGACCTTGGATCTTATTGTATGTTAAATTAAGTCTTGGATATGGATGTTAGCGTTTAGGATAATTTTGAGAACTTTGCAGCCGAGTGGACAAAATGTGAAAATTATTGATATGTTATGATTAGGTGGAGCCGTATTTTGTCCTGGAAGTATTATTGCTTCTCTGCTGATGCTGTGGGTGTGACGACCTTAAATTCTAAGTCGAATAAATATTTTTTTTTTAAATATATTTTTTTTAAATAAGTTTCATAGAAATAATAAGGGGGCATTTATAAGAAAAAAAAAATCTGTTAAAATTTGTGCAAGGATTAAACTTCTCAAAGAAAAACCTTGCTTTTAAATTATAGGAAAATTTCGTGTTCCTTATCGTAATTTTTTGTGCCTTTTATTGTAATTTCCTCGTGCTCCTTTTTGTAAATTGTCCCATGCTCTTTATGTTCTGATTTCGGTTCTTTTGTGTGAAGAAAAACAGAGCATTTTGAGTCATTTTCCCACCGCCTTCCTACACTCTTCTAGATCATTTAAGTCGGTCCATTTCTTTAATCCTTATCAACACACTTAACTCACTGTTAGCTGATCATTTTGTGGCTGTCGTTGCTTCATATCACCTCACCTTCTCGTCCTCGTCTGTTAGTCACGTTGAAACCGAGTTACTGATTTTCTCCTACTATACTGTGCTGTTCTGTGTCCATGAGAGTCTGTCAGCAGTTTGCTGTCTTAGCTGCCACCTTCCTCTTCTTCTCGGTCTTCATTCGACAGTCACAGTGGAAAGGTATCTCCCTCATTCTCTTGCTCTGTTTTGCGCCGAATTTGGGTGCCCACGGTGGTCGGTTTTTCTTTCCTCTTTTCTTCCTTCCCTGTCGTCGAAGTTCAATGTGGGTGTAGGTGGTTTCTGCTTCTTTTATTGTTAGCTGGAATCATAGCTTCTGCCTCCTCGTGTGTTGACAGATTTGAACCTCTAGCTTTTTTTGCTTCGACGCTGTACAGTGGCTGAATCAGACTTGCTGCCACTAAGCCTTGTTGAGGAATCTAATGGCGTCATTGGAATTAAGGTAAGAGGTCAAACAGAACGAGCTTTAAAATTTAAGAAACTGAGTGGGTAGCGTTCTAAGTAAATTCTTAAAAAAGTGTTTACAAAAAAAAATCTCCCTATTTAGAATTTTAGCAATTATCTTTTATAAATAGTACAATTATTTTCATTTATCCTATTTTTCTAATAATTGTTTTATTTAAAGAGAAAGTGTTGATTTTATTGATAGTTTATATAGTTGACAAGTACTGATGAAGTAATAATAATGATAATTGATCGGTATTTAAAAGAGGAAAAGAAGAAGAGAAAAGAAAATTTTGAAATTTTCTCTTGCCTCATGCATGTTAAAGTTTACTGAGAGGGACTGAGTTCAGAACGCTGGATGCTAACGACAGTTCCGTTAGCCCTTGGCGCGCCATGGTACACCTAACTAGCAGGGTGCTTCTGGGAGGTGCTAGCCCCGTGCGTAGGCCAACGCATGTGGAACAGAGGAATAGTTATTCGTGAGCATCATGCTCATGCTTGTTTTCGTGGGTTTTATGCCTGCGCTTGATTCGTGGCTCTTGCCGCGTGTTATGTGGCTTTTAGTCACGCTTGATGGGTTATTTACCCTTGTGAACTGTGTGTCCACGCTTGTTATTCGTTCTGATAGAGCCCTCCTAAATTTTGGTTAACATCTTCAGTTTTCTATTTATTTTCTGAAAGCCTTTTTATCAAATTGCACCATTATTAAATATTTTTATATTTTATGAATAGTGAAATTTTTATTTTCAACATATATGTGTGACTTTACTAGCATTGACTAATTTCATGATCATCTTATAAAAAAAATTTAATTAAGATTGTTATCTATATTCTAGTTAAGGGCAATTTTTTTTTATTTCATTAAGACATTTGAAATTAAATTTATTGTTTATAATCTCCATATTTTTTACTACAATTTTGATTAGAACGCTACTCACCGATAAGTTTTTTTTGATCTCAGATAGTATAGCAGACCCTGCACCTCCAGCTGACCATTGAAGGCCTTCTTGTTTTTGAAAAAAAAAAAAAAGCAGAAGCACATGGTGACTATCTTTTTTGGTGAAGTTTCATTCTGTGTTTTGTAAACTATAAGCTAACTCCACGTACCTTATGATTAGGCATTAATCCCTTTTGGTTATGATGTAAACTGCTAAAATAGAAATAGTCTCCTTGTTGGTTGGGCTGACAGGTTTTGTTGTTGTTGTGAAAATTTTGGAAGAGTTAAATTATAGGAGAGACTCTGCCGAAATTTTCACAAAACATTTAGACTTTGCTAACTTTATTATTGATGAATATAACTTACATATACTGAGATTTCAGCTGAATTCTCATTAATTGAGGCTTATGGAATATGAGCTCACCTCATATTCTATGCCGATTATACCCTTAAATATTGGGGTGTGACAGTGGGCGTTATGCTCATATTTTTGGGCTATAAATGTCCTAAACCCTTGATGTTGTTGTCTTTGGGAATTCCTATTTTTTTTTAATTTTAAGTTTTATTAAATAATTTCAAAATTTGTGTTAAATCCAATTTTTGTCTTGAGGACTTAAAATTGATTAGGAATTGATTGAGATTTTAATTGAGATTAATTATAGAGCCTAATTAGGTGTTGGAAGTGGATAACTGTTCACTAAGAGTGCTGACCCGTTATAAAAGGGGAGAGATTCTCTCCTCTTTCTTTACTTCCTCTTCCTCTCCTCTTTTGTTTCTAACCATTAAATTAACATTTAGACAGTTCAAATTTCAAATTTAATCTCCTATAAAATATTTAATTTATAGCCACTGTGATTTGCAACGTGAAATCCGTGTGATTTATTTTGGATTCCATGCGACTTGATGCATTTTCTAATTGATATGCTTATGCATTAGACCAAATCCAGTACTGAATTAAAGTAACTACATCAATATAATTGGAGTATTCAATTGTTGTTATCGAACAATTCTGCCATCCAATTATAACGAATCTCTAATTGAGTACCAACATATTAAAATATGATTATTAAATTTTAAAAAATGTATAAAGATTTAAACAATTCAAATAAAATCTCATAGAAGATTTATTTGGAATGTGGGACAGGTCTAAAGCTAGCATGTCTGTAGATTTGGACATGTTAGTTACAACCTTAAAAAGAAGATCTCAATATTATGCGTGTCATCTTCTGGTGACAATTATATACTATTCTTCATTTTACATTATTTGAAACGGAAAGTGACTTTCCAGGACCAAAAAAAAAAAAAACAGAAAGCGACTCATCAATTTGTATTATTTTCTTACAATTATTGCGCCATTCAATGCCTAAAATGCCACTAATCAAGATCGAGTGAATTCTATAAATTAGAGCCCTCATGCTCTCGTTTTTTAAAAGCACATTATATTTTAGCATTAATGAAAAATGCCATCACTCATTGTTAATCACTACTACCTTTGTCTTAATTTATAAGTCATTTTTAAACAAAATAACATTCATTAATAAAACTCATTAAATACACTTTATAATCTTTTTTTAATAAAAATATATACTTTTAAAAATACTATTTATCTAATACTCTATTTGTAAAAGAATATTAAGAAGAGAGAATATATAAAAATAATAATATTAGAAAAATATCATCTATAAAAGGGTCAAATTTATTTTTATAGCCAAACCTTTTTAGAAGGAGCGCTGGGCATCTATGCAGATAAGTAGAGTAATTTAACTCTTGAACCATTATTCTAAGGAGCAAAAAACTCATTCCATTAGTCACTTGTTGACTTTATTATTTTCTGCTTACGTAACATGTGTGTGAGGCCATTCACAATAACAAGTAAAACTCTAACCTTATCTTTTGATATTAATTTTCTTTTAAACTCTTTTTTCAAAAATGTTGGGCATTCTAAGTCTTATCAAAATAAAATTTAATAAATAATGTTAAAATATTGAATATTTCAATATTAATAATTTCATTATTATTATTTATAAATAATAATAAAAAATTTATAAATTATTTTTTAAATATTAATAACTCAAACTAGTTTTTCACAAACTTATAGATAACTTGTAAATTGTGTGTGAAGATTTGTAAATAATAATAATAATATTTACAAAAATTTGTGAGCCGTTTGACAAGTTTGATTATTTCATGCAGTATTCAACTCCCCTAAGTGTAAAACAACCACTACTCGAAAAACCAACCAAATGGTATGATCTAGACCCACCTAGGACGCCAAAGAAGAAACTAGAGTTGAAACCATAGCTTGCAAGAACACCATGGAAGAGAAAAATGGTGGCTCCTCCAAGGAGAGTCCCATGCATGCATATTTATTATTCGTAAATATTATTATTATTTATAAATTTTCACACATAATTTACAAACCATCTATAAATTTTTATAAACCTAGTTTGCATTGTAAATATTTTAAAATAATTTATAAATTTTGGATGAATATTTATAAATAATAATACTTAAATTATTAAATATTTAATATTTTAATAATATTTATTAAATTTTATTTTAATAAGATTTCAAAGTGCTGAGCACTCCTAAAAATAGAGTATGATGAAATTAGCACCAAACTACATTATCAAAGTTCTGCCTGTCACTGTGCATTAACCCCACCTACATATCACGTTAGCAAAAAATGAGCAAAGTTAAATATAAGGGTTTTTGGCTCCTCAGAAAAATGGTTCAAAGGAAAAATTGCTTTACTTATTAGTAGAAGGTACCTAACACTTCTCGAAAAAGAGTTCAGGATAAAAATGAACCTTAATCCTTTATAGAACCTTATGTTGTTAATGTTTCTCATATTTTGGGATGTTGAATCTCCCTCAAAAATGTCTTATGAAGTGAGATGAAGAGAGTATCATAAACCACCACCATTAATTGCTAGTGATTGACCACCACTGTCAATCAATTTTTTAACTATAAAATTATTTTTAAATTAATATAATCAAATATTTTCTTTTTGTTTTGTTTGAAAACTAATTTTAAAAATTGTATTACAAAATAATATTTAAAAATAAAAAAATGACAACGCAATCATACATGACCTTGTAATACTGACAAATTATTATATATCACATGCTTGAAAATAGGAGGCCATTCATCCTTTCATATTATATTATTACAATTATTGCACCATCAAATAACTAAAATGCCACTATCAAGATATAGTGACCTCTATAAATTGAAGCCTCAACCTTTTATCACTACTACAAAATAAGATTACATGAGCATTTTTTTTTTTTGCCTTAGGGAGTGCTTTTGAAACACTCCCGTATTGAGCGCTCCGGAATATACTGGAGCACTGCGCTCTTATATACAGAAGTGCTTTTCAAATGGTAAGACTACTTAATTTTTAACATTTTGATATTTAATTTCAGAGTGCTCTTTATAATGAGCGCTCCTAAATACCATCATACAGGAGCGCTCTTTTAATTAAGTGCTCTGATAGGTTTCATCTCTATTTTTAGGAGTATTTTGTAAAAGAACGCTCTGAAAGACGCGTTACGAAAGATATTTTCAGTAGTAGTGCATTTCTTCACCAACGCATCATCTCTCTATAACTTAGTGAAATTTTTCAGTAGTAGTACATTTACAACTTAGATATGAGTTTAATATCAAGTTGTCATTTTTCTTTGCCCAATTGTAAATGTTCTTTGCCAAGTTGTAAATGTACATGATTTGAGATTTGGGAGTATTTTGTGCATTTTATAAAACCTCTTCATAATTAAATCTATTCTATGGAACCTAGGTGTTATTTTCCCTATGAAATTTGGATTGGTTTGGGAGTTACCAACTAATGGGCCGGACGTTAATTTTGGGTTTTGTGGTAACGGGCCTGGATGGACGATGATGTTATTTAGTGAAAGTCTGAGCAACTTGAAGGGGAGAGAAGAATTTTGTGGCTCATCCCCTTCCTGTAAGACTTTCCCTTTCCCTCTGTGCTTCTTCTTTAATTTGCTGCCTCTGTTCTGTCCCTTTCCTTTCTTGTTAACTTCTTTTGCTGTATAGGTGCACCCAATGTCTGTGACTATTTTGTTTTCTATGTGTACTCTTTACTGCGAAATTGAGGCAATAATACTTGAGTAGCATTTTTTGGAATATTTTGTGCCCCATAACTGAGTTAATAGGCTCGAGAACGTTACAAAATATCTGATTTAGATCCATTCCACAACACCTGGAATTGAAAGACGTAGTTCACAGACATACAATATTCAATTAATCATATCTTTAGATCACTATGCAATCCAATCTCCCTTATAACATTGGTTAAAAAGAAATCATTTTCATTCGATCATATGCCTTTCTAAATCAATCTTGATTGCCATATAACCTTTCACATCGTGTGAGAAATAACTCCTCACGTGTGAAATTATAGAGGGTCCCCTTTAAGATCAAACAATTCCATCGAATTGAGTATGATTGTATGTGTGATAGCATCTACTATACCAGGAATATCAATGAACCCAATTATTGAAATTGCTCAGGATACCCTTTTTTGTTATTCGTATTAACAGCTACTCTAGGAGGAATGTTTTTAAACCAAGAAATATAGGCCTGCCTGCCATCCACACCAGAATAAATGAAGTTTTTCGAAAAAACCTGCTAGTGAAGGAAGACCTCCTATGTTGAAGAATCAGCAGATGAGTTGTGGTTAGGGGTGAAATGCCACTCGAACCCAGAGCTAGCTGGTTCTCCCTTTCACATCGTGTGAGAAATCTCCTTTGCAAGATAAATTAGATGTGTGTGTGTGTATGATTTTTAAAATGTGACACTAAGGACAAAAGAATATTCGAATCTAATCTTTTTGCTTTTAAAGTAAAACCTTGGAAAATTATGCTACTATGAGAGTTTGATTCTAATCTTTCGAAATTAGACATAAACTACACAATATTTTCATAATAAAAGGCTTATGTTTTCCAGTTTCCCCAGTGTTACGTAGACTAAACAAAAGCTATAAAAACTTACAGAATTTTATGTCACAATTTCATGAGATGCCGAAAAAAATCTGAAGTTTATTAATTTCTAAAAAAGTAAACGGTAATGAAAAGTAATTTATTTAATTCTTGTAGGTGAAATTCTAAAATCTGAAGCATGGAAATTATTTTGAAAATTTTGAACTCACTAACAAAAAAAAAAGTTAGATAGAAGATAAATACATTACATTCTACCATAAAAAAAGTGTTCAATATCATAGAACCTGCAAAAAAAATATGAAAAACAAAATGCCCATACACCCATATGTATCCGTAATTTTTTTTCCAGGAAAATAATTCATAATAAAATGCTTTAG